GAGCCAGGACAGCAGCCCGGTTCAGATGACCGTACACAGAACTCTTCCTTCCATTTGTATTCTTCTGTCCAAAGAACCGCTGGACCCGCAGGAGCCGGGATACCAGCCTCCAGCCGAAATAAACACTCTCTCAGAGGAAAGCAAATGGCCAGATGGACCACAGGGGGCTGGAAAGCCAGAAAAAAGACCAGCGAGTCCTTGTTCTCATGATCTCCCCAGTCTTAAAAGAGCTGCACTGGGACAGGATAAAATTCCAGCTCTGGAAACAGTGAAAAAATGTTACTATAAAAGGGAGGAATTCATATAAATGTTTTTTGTGTGTATTTATAACTTGCTTAACTGTCATATAATTTAGCCATATCAGGATGCAATACATGTGAATGTATAATCTGAGTGATAAAATGCATGATCAAGTGATTTTTTTTTTATTACTTCATAATAGTCTGTAAATAAATGACAAATAAATAAAATAAAATATAAAAACAAATAATTTATTGTTGGCTATTTCTTACACTCCTTCACTGTTATTTTCCCTGCTCAGTGATTTTCATATTTTCTCTCGTGCTCTTGGTTTTACCATTATAAATTTAGTATGATTGGGATACTATTATAGTTTATAATAATATTTTGTTTTTATTTTTTCCCATTTTAATTTTATTTTTTACAATTTTAGTAATTTTGTTGTGTTTTGTCAATTTTATAATTTTTTTAAGTCTAAAGTGATAATAAATAAAATATTCATTTTCATAGTTACAGTCAAACTTTTTTCATTTTTATGTATATTTTTATTAATTATTTTAGTACATCAGGTTAAAAAGATTTATTTTATTTCAGTTAACTTTAAATTTGCATGAAAAAACGTTTTTTTTTTTTTTATGATTTTAGTTTTAATTTTTATTAACTATAATAATAACCCTATGTTTACTTTATGAAATGTAATACTGCCCCCTGCTGGCAAGAACAACTATTTTGGAAACATGCTTGTTGCTGTATTATCTTTAAATGAAATTCACATTTAGGGTTAGAAGCTAAAAACTATAGCACTTTGGCAACATATTTTTACCGTTAACTTTTCAATAAAAGACGAAAGTCAGACTTTTTAATGTATTTTATCTGAAACTATATTTCAGTAAAATTATATCAACGCTACGATTGCAAAATCTGCATATGTAATGAAACTGAGCTATTTTGATCAAAGTAATTGTATGACAACAGTGACGTAATATTTCTAATGATGGCATATAAATGCCATAAATGATGAGGAACTGCTTGTGTGTTTAAATGGATGCAGTAAATGCAGAATATTGCACCTTCCGTACGTTTTTGTCAGCTCATAGAGAATGACTGTGATTTGTATACAGTACAGAAATTTATCTTTTGTCCTTCATGCTCTTTTATAATCCTCTTTAGCAAACCCTCTCGCTATTCATGACCATGCGCAGCCAGAGTCCACCACACACGGCTTTATTGCCGAGCCAGTGCGCATGCGCAGTCACACGCCAGTCTCGTGTTATCAGGTCGGGTATCTTGACTATCTTGACTATCCTTCAGTCCGTCGAGTTGCGCTTGAGCCCGGTGAGCCGCACTATGTTCAGAGCCGCCCTTCGACTCTCTGTCTCCGGTGCTCGGAGTTTAACAAGGTCACGGCCACAATATACAGGTAAATGCAGAATTTGCCATTAATTATGAAACTGCTGATTGGAAAAACGACAATAAGAGGCAGAGTTAACGGAAACACCTTGAACTTTAGCTTAGCACATAAGCTAACCAAAGCCGCACCGGTGCCTTGCAAGAAAGGTTATACCTTTCAGAAGTTATCACACGCTAAATCGTAATTTGGATAACAGCATTTCCACATGACAGTCGCGTTTTCCCAGTCATTTATGAAGTCCTGTAGATGTTTTCTCACAGTGTCCTTGCAATGACCCGCTAGAGTGAGGCTTCGGCCCAGCGCGAGGAGGAAACGCGACACTCAAACTGAAAGCATCCCAGATTGACACTTTTATTCTGTCAGATTGACATTTCATTGAAACAGCTAGTCTAGTGTGTAAATACGTGGGTTGTGACAGCTTTTCAAACAGCCGGTGTGGTTTACATAAACTCCTCTGTAAGTTAGCAGTTTTGTCATACGGTAAATGAATACGTGCGCCGCAAGGTTGCATGTATGAAGAATGCGCATAAATTCCTATTGCATGAATATAAAGTGTCGCTGTAGCTAATACTATCAGCCAGAATGTTTTCTATGACAGTGCACTGACCTCTATGAAAACCCACACCTCATATGCAAATGTAGTGTCATCAGAATGTACTTCACTTCATGAACGTACAAACATCTAGTTTGCATGTTTTTAATTATACGTCTCGTTTTGGGGATATCAGTTGAACTTTTGTCTGACCTTCTTTAGCTGATAGATAAGCATTAGCCCAAATCATACTGACCCAACGGACCATGTACCAGTCAAACATGGGTCAAACAAGAGCACTGGACCAGTTCCAACTAGAACAAGGCCTGTATGCAAAATGTCACTGCACTATTAAGTGTTTTTCACCATCGCTGAAACATGAAATGATTTTGGATTAGATTTATGGCCCTTTCATGCTTACAGTACTTCCCGGAAGTACTTTGGCTGTGACAATGTTATTATTGTCTGTATGTCGTTTTCTAAGGCTGATAAAGTGAGTAATTTTTGCTAAAAGTCTCTTCTGATTGTCTCTGGTCTTCCTCTTCCACAGCTTCAGTAGCTGCTCGTTCTTATTCCCATGGCAAACAGGAGACAGATGAAGAGTTTGATGCCCGCTGGGTCACTTACTTCAGTAAGCCAGACATTGATGCTTGGGAGCTGAGGAAAGGTGGGTGACGGTGGCGCTTTGACCTTGTTATTGAATCGGCAGCTGTGCATTCGACTGCTGAGCTTGTAAAGTGAGAATTTACTCTCATAAATTTATTTTAGTGGCCATATGTTCTGTTTAAAATCCTCTTGAATCTGAATGCTGCTCTTTAAGATAGCCATATTTCTGAAAGTGAGTTCTAAGTGAATTCAGTAGCAAGCTATAGTGCATTACTGTATCTTCCCTGAAATGTTTTTTGTTGTTTGCTGCCAATTTTTTTTCCTGAAAATTAATATACAATCTTAAATACAATTTTTTTTAAATTATATATACTTTTAAACATTTTACATTTAAAATTATTCATATATATATATATATATATTACTTGCACCATTAGACAACAAAACAAGTTTCCACCAGTAACAGTAGTGTTTCTGTTTGTTTTTAATATTTGCTAACCTGTAAAGCTGGTTTAGTTTGATCCGTTAGTATCACTTCTTCCAAAATTTGTCTGTTTATCTTTAACCTGTAAAATCTTTGGAACAAGGAAGTATGTTTTCGGTTACAAGCTCGAACTGACTGTAGAGTAAATACATGTCTTCTTTTGTTTTGCTTCAGGAATGAACACTTTGATCGGTTACGACTTGGTACCTGAGCCAAAGATCCTGGAGGCAGCCCTGAGAGCCTGTCGGAGGCTAAACGATTTGGCCAGTGCCATCCGCATCCTCGAGGCAGTCAAGGTCAGTAAAACTCTCTGGACAATAGCAGAATATGCCACAGTGGCATTAATTAATTTATGTCTTGAAGCTGCATTATTTAACGTGATTTTTCTGAAATAATTTTTTACTTAAAATTGTTTTACATTTTAATTAGATTTTATTTTATTTTACTCATACTCCTTTATTTATTTATTTTAATTAATTTATTTATTTATTCACACAGGACAAATCTGGCCCACACAAAGAGATCTACCCCTACGTTCTCCAAGAGCTGCAGCCTACCCTCAATGAGCTTGGTATCCCTACACCTGAGGAGCTTGGCATTGACAAAGCATAGATGTCTGCGATTGTGGTGAGTATCAGCATGCAATTTTTAAAAAAAGGACACAATTCAACCTCTAAACAATTGCAAGATGTGTTTCCTTATTTGATTTAACATGTGCATCTTTCCTTTTTACTTACAGAGTCTTCCAGGAGACTGCTGCTCTTGTCTGGACTGAGTAGACCACTGTACTTGAAGTCTTTGCCTCGTGTCATGGTGTTTGTGTTATATTTAATTGGCCTTTATTATGTTATTTTGCTTGTAAAATATTAATGGACCTAATAAAGGGAGATATATCTTTACTCAATCTTGTTGTGTTTTTATCTGATGACTCAGGTTTTGCTTCAAACTTGTATTAACTTGTATTTTTTATAAGGGTTATAATGAATCACAACAGAAAAATCTATCCTCTTAATCTTTCAAAATGGAAAACTATTTCTGTTAAATGTATTGACAACCTAGTGAATTGTTTTATTTGTAATTTAATAATAAAAAATAAAAAAAAACTTTACCTGTGACTGTGCGAGACTTCCGTTTCATTAACTGTATGTAAACAGAATAATAACAGTAACGGACTGTTTTTGCACAGCTAAAATAACTGGGAGCGGCCAACACCGGAAGTCTCGCACATTAAAGGTAACAACTGCTGCGCCCGCTGTTACGTTAAAAACAAGGTGCATAGTAAACCGTTCTTGTTTTTCTGTTCGACACAAGCTATGATTATTTAGTAAATGTTATAGCACTTTTGAACCAGTGGAGGGCGCAGCAGGAATGCCTAAATCATATCAAAAAACATTCAAAAATCTAAACATTTAAAGTTGTGTATGCATAATGAATAAAAAGGTTTTAGGCAAAACGTGTTTTTCCCCATCGTACTATTAATAATTGTTCATTTCCGTTCTTCTATAAACATTGTGGCTAATTTGGGGTCAGAATTTCGAACCTAAAATAAAAAATGGCAGTCTAATAATAGATGCTTGAAACAGCCATGCAAGTGTATGTTAACTCCCATCGGTTTTTGTGCTATAAATATTTTACTTAGCTGCTTGCAAAGGGGAAACGTAAGAACGTAATAACTTGTTGCACAAGCCAGTGGGGCGGGATTTAAATGTGCGGTAATGTGCGGGGGGTTTGGCTCCGGCTGGAGGAGGAAAAGTCGAGGGGACTGTGGGAGTCCCTCAGCGCGCAGTTCGGGAGGTGAGGTCAGGCGTTTCCCCTTTGGCTGGCCCCACTGTCGAGTGTTTTTTTCCCCTCTGCAAACACCGAGAGGTTTATTATCGTTCTATCAGAGGGGATAGTAGGCTACACGTTCGGGTGGATGCACACGTACTCGGTGCGCTGAGCAAAACACGCACGGTGGTCTATCTAGGAAAAGAGTGATGGTGGACAATTCCAGTAGCAGCAAAGCGCAAGTGGTGAGTTCCGTCCTGTTGGCACAGAGCCCTGTTGAATGTATTGATAAGCTACTGTAATATTTAATCAGCAGACATCGAGCGCATAAAATATTGCATGTACGTTTAAGAGTTTTTGATATAAACTCAATGAGTCGGTATTTATTATAATTACATTCGTGTGAATGATCAAGCTATTATATGTAGCGAAAATCCACATTGTACACGTCACGATTTCAAGATTTTTTTTCTGATGATACAACTTGAGCTGTTTATTAGTTGTTAAAGTTCGTGTGCTGCTGGAGTCGAAAAGTCAAAAACATCTCCGTTTGTTTCCGTCAGAACGCGATACTTTGTTGCGTCGTGTGTTCGTTCTCTTTTTTTAACAGCTTAATTGTTTTTGGAAGAGCGCCATACTTTTGGGCAGCCATGATTCGACTGTGAACTGAATGTCTTCTTTTATTGCGCTCACTTATCAAACTGTGCTTTAATTAGTGATAAAGTAACCGCATAAATCGACTGGATTTGGCTAAATATTAATTATTTAACAAAATGTAAAGCGACACGCCGTTTTGGCCGGACATCCGGTCGTTCTACTATCCCGACTGGTCGCCTCTATGGGCGGGGTCAAAGGTAGGTTGGCCTGCTGGGCAATAAGCGAGCCGCGGAATGCGACGTTAATCTTTTTGGGACGTATAAATACTGTTAATACGAATTAAAATTATTGCGAAATTAATTCGAATTCCACCCAGCCATGTCCGTTGTGATGATTTGCTTACACGTATTTGTTTTTCATTTAAATTAAACAAATTTGACTTTCCTCCATGTCGTTTGTACTTATTTATTTACGCGTATTTGTGTTATATTTGTATCTAATTCGAATTGAGTCCATTTGAATATCTCAACCGTGTCGTTTGATTATTTGATTGCGTCGATAATTCGAACTCTAATGCCTTTAAGTTAATGATGTTGGTTTGAATTCAAGTTGCTCAAAAACAGTGTGATTGTTTCGTTTACACATTAATTGTTGTGTTGCGTGAACGTTTAAAAAAACGTAACTTTTGAAATTTAGTTATTAAAATGTTTATTTGTATGTATTTTCAACCAATAATGAAAATTCTGTCAGACATTTCCCACCCTCAAGTTGTTTCAAACCTGTATGAATTTATTTCTTCTGTTTAACACAAAATATGATATTTTGAAGAATGTGAGTAACTAAAGAGTTGCTGGTCCCCACTGACGTCTATAGTATGGGGAAAACGGTCTGGTTACCCACATTCTTCAAAATTCAGCAGAAGAAAGAAATTCATACAGGTTTGGAACAACTTGAGGGCGAGTAAATGATGACACTATTTATATATTTAATTATTTGTTTGTTTTTTGAGGGGTGAACTAGCCCTTTAAATGTTGATCATATTGAACTGTTGTTTTAGTAGAGTATGTTGCACTTTCTTCATCCTAAAATATTTGTTTTTTTAAGTGGAAAAAAAAATGAATTTAGCTTTTAAAAATATGTTTACAGAATTAATTGACTTATTTTCCTCTATCCACAATCCAGCCCAGCTTGTCTCAGGACAGCGGTCTGGCTGGTGCATTTTCTCAGGTGGCTTTCGGAAGTGCGGCTGGAGTCAAACTGGAGGCGGTTATGGAGCAGCTCCAGAGACAACAACAAGTTAAACTGGAGATGGAGCGCAAGGAGAGACACCTCAGGGAAGCCCATATTCTGTACGCCCAGCAGCTGGCTGCACAGCAAGCCATCATGGCCTCCGCCAGAGCTCAGGGCACCCCATTAACCCCTGATTTCTACAGCAAAAACTCCAGAGACAGAGCGCTGAAAGGCGACCAGGGGCCTCAAACTGCCAGGGGGCCCATGAAAACTGGCTCTGACCAAGTACATGAGGAAGACGCTGCTGATGAGATGGACAGAGGAAGAGGGTCCGAGGGGGACGAAGACGACGACGATGAGATGATGGATGGGGAAGACGGTAGCGAAGAAGAGGAAAGCGAAGGCTTGGAGTTCCTCAGGAAGCAAAGTCTTGCGCTTCAGCAAGCGTCTGTCGGAGTTCCTCCGTATACGTTCCCCGTCTATGCCGCATCGCCATCCGCTGCTAAAAAACGTCCCCTGTCGCCGACCACTAAAGTGAAAGACGAACCTGAAGACTCCCTTCCCGACCAACAATCGTTCAGCACACCAAACGGACTGGCTGATTGGAGCCTCGATGACTCATTCAAACAGGTTTGTATCTATATTTCTTTGACTTGTCATTAATCTCAAGAGGTTTCAGTATGTCAGGCATTCGCAGGCATTGTGTTTACTCTCATTATATCACCAATGACCTACAAAAGCAGCAAAACAGCATATTTTCATTTATCTTTGCATGATTTTAGGAGTGCCAGATCATGAGATGAATTGTAGAGAGTCTTTACATGTTCATAAACTGTAGAACCACTAAAACAGACTCATCTCGGCTTACTGAAATGCTATCGGCTCTGAATAGGACATCTAATCCAGTTTTCTCGAGCGCAACAGGAATACGTGTTCTCCCTAAAGTGTACAAAAGAATTGGGTTGGACTTCTACCTCTTTAATAAAAGGGAAGGGTTTAGTGAATGAGCTTTATTGAGTCACTTCATACAGCATTGTTGAGTGTAATTTTAGTCCGGAGATTTTCACAAAATATGTCCAGATCACTCCAAAATAATAAATAAAGAAATATAAATTTTATTTTGCTTTAAGGAAAAGAAACCTATTCTTTACAACCATTAAAGATTTCTGTGTTTTGACATTATTTACTTAAATTAAGCACAATTCCCCATAAATTCTCATTACCATAATGCAAAAAGAATTCTTGTTTTCGTATTATCATTACCTTAACATAAAAACGATATTATATTATTAAATTAAAATGTTCATAAATGATGGTAGTATTTGTTATACTGCCTTTTAATTATGCTTATTTAAATATAGATTTAAAAAAATGAAATCGCAGTAATGAGAATCATAATTAAAACAATGGAAATAGAAAGTGTCAAAAGCCTTATGACAATGAGAATTTGGTGTAAAATGTGCTTAATTGTCCCGAAAATAATTACTAATAAAGTATAATTTTTTTATTCATATTTTTTGAGGTGTGTTTTCATACATTTTTTTTTTACATTATGGAAATGAAAATGTTATATAATTATAAATAATGATAGTATGTTATGCTGCCCTTTAATTTATTTGATTTCTAATTTTTAAAAAAATCTATAAAATGCTAAAACGTCTAATCCATTTTTTTTTTTTTTTTTGAGCACAAGAGGAATTTGCGTTAATCCAAATATGTACAAAAGACTTTGGGCCTCTGTTATTTTTTTTCCCCTTCTGGTTGAGTTCTACTTCTTTTTAAAGCTATTGTCCTCCTCTTCCCTTATTGTCAATAGTCTCCTGCTGTGAGCCAAGCTGTACCCTCAGACATGGTCCTACAACTCAGTCAGTTAATTTATCCATTTATTCATCCCTAGTCTTTAGGGAATTCTGTCCTGACATAAGGCTTTTGTCCCTGGATATCCCTGACGTCTGGCGTTCTGGCAGGCAGCCCAACAGGAGTGCGCTTTCATTCTCTCTTTCTTCCTGCTATCTCACTTTCCTCTGTCATTCCCCCTTCTGCTGGTGTTTCTTGAGAACAAGCTCTTGGCAGTGTGCTGTAATGCTGTCTTGGCCTGTGACCAGAGAGGCACGCTGTCAAGTTGCAATACAAGAGGCAGAATGTTACAGGCGCGTGCTTTTTGGAGAGCTGCCCTGACAGTTCACACGTGGAGATTTCCCACAGTTGAAATAGTCGAAACTGGACAACTGTGCGTGGGACTCTTAAATAAGCATGTTTAAAAGGATTATTAATCCAATATTCAAATTCTGCCATCATTTACTCACCCTCAGGTTGTTCCAAACCTGTATGAACACACAAAAAGACATTTTGAGAGATGTCTTCACTTTTTGTGTCCATACAATGAAAGTCAATGGGGTCCAAAGTTGGACATTGGACATTTGTCAAAAGATCATTTTAATGTTCCACAGAGGAAAGAAAGCCAGGATTCAGGATTGGAACTACATGAGACAACTTCTTCATTCTCATGTTTGGGTGAAGTTATTTTCATAAACGTAATTTCGTCCTTTTAAAAGGCTTGCATCAATCATGATAAGGATGAAGCCGTCTTTCAGAAGACCGTCTCTGTAGGTTTAATGTAGAGAGACATTTCCCTGTAGTGCTGTCATCCATTTTAGTGGTCTGAGCTCTTTGTTTGCTCAGCTGTGCTTGAGTGATCGATCAATCAGGGAAAAATGGATTGCTCTAATTTCATACGCACACTCTTATGGCTTCCTTCAGCCCTTGATATTTGCATGCTTTCAATCAAAGCCCATTTACCCTACTTACATTGAATAATACAACATTGATATATATATATACCGAAAGCCCCATTTAGCAGTGCATCCATTTAATTCCGTGTTTCTTTGATGTTATGACTGTGTTTTTATGCAAAACATCCAACATGGTTTTATTGAGGGTTACTGATAACAAACACGTTCAAGCGGTTTTATTTGCGGTAGATCAGTAACAACAAGCACAAGTCGGTAAAAGTATAGTGATGTTTGGGAAGGTTGTATGTTGACAGGCCGGTCTGTGATGTTTTCATCACACCCATGTCATTATATATGTATTTATAGAGGGTAATGGTCTGAGGGCTTGTATACTGCTTTTCAAATATAGGCTTGTCCACGTGTATACGAGACAATAGGAGATTCAGTGCTGTGAAAAGGCTGACGGTTGGACTTCTACCTCATTACTAAGAGGGAAGAGTTTAGTGAATGAGCTTTATAGAGTCACTTCATGGTGGTGAGTGCATTTTAGGGGGGTGATTTTCACAAAAACAAATTGTCAAGAAAATGTCCAGGATCCTTCAAAAATCAAAAGGAAAACTAGAAGATTATATATTGCTTTATTAAAATAAAGCCTGCCTTTACAAGTCTTTAGATAGTAAAACCTTGTAATTTAAAAGAAATAATAATTTATACAACCAAATTGAATGCATGGAACTGAAGTCATTTTTTTATTGAAATAATATACTTTAGTTACTTTAATTACTGAATCTGTTTCACGTTTTGTTTATTTAATTAGATTTTTATTTAGTATTTTTGGTTGAATTTTAATGCACAAACAGCAAAAACAGACTTCTTTAATAAGCAAGGTTTTACAGCTTGAGGGGCTTCAATCCCACCCCCGCCCTCTTTTTTTTTTTTTTTTTTTTTCCCCCCAGGGCGACAGATGATTCGCTTCCTGAAGGAAATGAAATCTGATGAAAATCTTTTTTTGGTCCCACCCGTCTTTATTTCTGTCCTTTAGTATTTAATGATGCTCTCTGTGGTAACAGTATCAGATTGCAGGGTGGGGGGGATGTGAAGAGACTGGTTTGATGGCACTGACTACACAAAAGAGAACAGATGCCACAAATGGCATTTTTAAATGAGGGTTGGGGGTTGTCTTTTTGAAGCTTTTCACACTTAAATGGATAAGCCTCAGTCAATCAGTAAACACCTTTGGTAAAAGCACAGTAGTCGGGTGTAAAGTTGGCGGCAGTGTTTACTCATAATCTTAGTGAACGGGGGAATTAATTGGCAGTTTGCAGATAAAAAAAGTTCACCCCAGCTTTGTTTAGAATCTCCAAGGGATAGGACTTTCAGGTTTTTCAGGGAGGCCTATGGATGGAGATGTTTGGTTTGGGGATGTTATGATCGTTATTTGTATTTCCTGTGCTTGAAAAGTTGAGTTTTATTGTTGCTGATTTGCTTTTCGTTTTTACTAGCATTGAATTCAGTAAATCATCTCCCAAGTCAATGAGGAGGTCAAATGGCTGCCATTAAACTTTTCATTGAACAAATGGCTGAGGCCAGTCCAGATAGCTTGGCGCCCTTTAAACCTAGCGTATTTAGTGGTAGCTGACACAATGCCCTTTTTAGGGAGCTCGGCATGGTAATCTAGTGTGATTAATGGAGTTTTAATCAGGCTCAGTTGACGTCGAAGCACGCATGTGCCTTGAGTTACAGCCTCCCATTTGGCGAGTATGATGACCATATCAAAGGCATCGGGTCAATAGAAACACCCCCGCTACTTTGATTCTGCATTTGTCAGGAGAAATATATGGCGGCAATTAGTAAAATCTTTAAACCAAGTACCTGTTTATTATTTTAGGGGCCAAATATTCATTCTAAGTCTTACTTTGAAACCTCCGGTCGCATTTTTGCCACACTCTTTAAAAATAAAGGTTCTTTTTTTGGCATTGATGGTTCCATGAAGAATCTTTAACATCCATACATTATTAAAAAATAGTTTCCAAAAATGTGTTTTCACAGCGAGTGAACAGTGAACAGTTCTTTTCTTAGTGTGAAGGACATTTTATTAATCTAAATAACTTTTTTCCACTATAAAGAGCCTTTTGTGCAGTGGAAAGATTCCTTGAATGATAATGCCAATAAAGAACTTTTATTTTTAATAGTGTTGAATCCTTCCATTGCGCAAAAGGTTCTTTATAGTGGAAAAAGGTTACTTGGGTGTTTAAATTGGGTGTAAAAAAAAAAAAAGGTTCTTTTAAAAAAAAAAAAAGGTTCTTTGGAGAATCAAAAATTGTTCTTCTATGGCTGTGAAAACCTTTATTTTTAGGAGTGTACCCAACATGGATTGGGTTATATTGTCGTCTTCACGGTTGCTATGGCAAAAGTGATGTGTACGAATAAACAAAAAGGCAAAAGTGCTTTAGATCGCAGACTCTTGATGTTCTCCCTTCCCCCAAAAGTGCTTTTTTCTGAACGAACAACAGGAAATTTGTCCTTGGGTTTGGGAACAATCTTGTTTTGTCGAACTCTGTTGTATTATTTAACTGTCAGCGTCACCTTGACAAGATTTCACCCCCCACGCCAACAATACAGCCCAGCCGGTAGCAATCAATTCTTATTATATCAGGGATTGCTGTCGCAGTGGAATGATTTTCCATATAAATTATCAATGACCCGACGGCCTCACACTTGTACGTTCGCTTCAAATGTTAGCACGACATCTGGTGCGTATTATTAGCACGGCGTAGCTTGCTTCTCTTGCGCGTTACGGGCATTAATGCGCTCGCGAGGTCTGTCAATCTCTATCTGGTAGTTTTGACAGCTCTTGGTGGTCCATCTTGATGGAGAAGTTTCAGTCGGACGACCCTC